TAAAAGCTCTTTCAATAGTGAAGGATTTGTTTGGCTGAAATGCAGAAGGTCCTGAGAATGAAACAGCCGCCCCATGTCTTGTCTCACACTACGGAGGGCTATATCTTCAGGAAGTCCTTGAAGATCAAGTTGCTGTGCTGCTTCTTACAGTAACATTGTCCTCTCTGATCTGTCATCCAATATAGCGTATGTGTCAAGTTCCTTCTCTCCATTTCTCAAGATCACTCGGCTGACCTTCAAAAGAACTTTGCTGCCTGCAGTTGGTCTGTCCATATACAAAGTCTCTACTTCTGAGTTCACAAGACAACTGTTTTCATGCTGAAGCTTGTGTTTCATGTTTACCTTTGGCATTGAAGTCATGCAGTATTTATAAAGGTCTCTTTTCACATTTGGCTTTAAGATTACATTGTGAGATCTGGTGATCACAGCCACACCTTAAGCACTTCTGATTTGACTTCAGCCAAGACTCCACTTGATCTTGATTCAGCAGTTTGAAATTAGCGCACTGATTGTAGTAATGCTGCACAGTGTTGCAGAAGGGGTAGTACTTTGTCGGTTTCTCCTTCTTGACTGCTGTAACACTTGCTGGTTTACTCTGTTCGCCACCATGCAAGACACTAGCAAATCGTTGAACCAGCTTGCAATTCCTTTGCTGTTCTCTCTGTGGCTGAGAGTAGGCTCTGCTTACATTACTAACGTACTGTGACTCATCCTCTTGTATTCTGAGCTCATATTCAAGCCAATCGCTGAGTTCCATCAGTGTTGGAACTGGGTTCTGAATGAGGTTAACAAACCTTCTGAATTTTGCTTTAAGATCATGAGGCAATTTGGCAAGGAGACGTGAAACATGTGACCCACATTTGAGCTCTGTCCATCCTTTAGCTCCAAGTTGGTCCAGCATTCCAACTAATGCACACAATTGGAGGGCAAAAATTATAAAAGATTTAGTGTCACCACTCCTGATTTTTGGGCAATCCATCAATTCTGCAATTCTTTGTAGTGCAAGTTGATGTGGTTGAACATAATGTGCAGTTAGAGACCTCATAGTGTTGGTGTATGGGTACCTGCTGTTGACATATGAGTCTGCAATGAGCAAGGCATTCTCCTGTTTCAGATGATCAATGAGTATTTGGTACTTGAAACCTTCTGCAGCCTCGGCAGGTAGCAAATTCTCCAGTGCAATTTTAAGTCGTGCAAACTCTCTGGGATCTTTACTACAAAAAATGAGGAATGGTGGGAATAGGACCTTTGTAGGTGGGTTCTACATGAGGATATGGAAGAGGAGGGCACACTGGGTGGTATGACTGATATGTCTCAGGCTGAGCGTAATCTGCGTACTGTCATGGGGTCAAGAAGCTTGATTTGTCTACAGGATTAGGAGCTGATTGACCATAGCTGTTTGAGGGTCTCTCATATGCATGTCTCTCATGTGCATGGTGAGCTAATGTATCCCTTGGAGTAAGTCTCTCATCTTGATAGACTGGACTTGTAGCTGGAATCCCATGATAAGGTTGCTGATAACCATATGGTTCAGTGGAAGGGAAATTGCGGATGGCTTTGCAGTTCAGACTATGATCTTTACAAGTCCCATACGTAGCTGCGGTCTCTTAACTATAGTCCTGAGACATAAACTCAACAGCTGCGGGATATTGGTTGCGATCTCTTTGGTCAGTGGACATATAGTTATGGCCTCTGTGGTCTGTGTTGTAGTAACCACGTGGTCTATCTATATGCCTAATACCAGGTTGAGGATATGTAGCATATTCTTGATGGGACAGCTTGTGTTGGGATTGAGTTGGTTCATAAGAAGAGAAAGGATGACTTGAAGTTAGCAGAGTTGCCGAGCTTGGTAGTTTCAGGTCTCCTAGGTTGTCAGTGAGATAATTAATCTCTTTGTGACTGACAGAATGAGAATGCAGAAGGTCACCTCGTGAATCTACAGGCAGTGCTCTCATGGGCTGAGCAGGATCATCTTGATCTCTAGGCAGAACTGGCCTGCCCTCAGTGGCTGCTGTATATGGACTTGAGGAGAGAACTCTCTGATCTGCATAAATTATTCGCCTTGGAGAAGTCCGAGTACGGGGCATTGGCCGTGGCGGTGATGGCTACAAATCTTGATATGTCTCCACATACAAACTTTCACTTGATCCAGTGCTCATACTTTTCATTGGTTCTGGTCCGCTTTCAATACATGTGAACTCTTTAAATGCAGGCCTTTTACCTGGTTCAGATCCAGTGGCACCATTTGTAGGCTGTTCATCAGAATGAAGTAACTGATGTGGCACTGTGTAATCAACATAGAAGTCATCCAAGTATCTTGGTGGGATGACCTTGTCGACGTGGTCGAACCACTGGTGGCACTGACGTAGCCCGTCTTTCTGTTCTAGAAATGGTAATGCTGTAGTAGCTGTCTGCTCCGGCTCGAAGGACCAAATTTTGTATGAAAGTTGAGGTGCGGATCTTAAACTGGGTGACAACCGCTACAGATTGTTCAGGCAGAACAATAAATCACATGGTCCATGTCCACAATAAAGTTTTTTACTGTTGTCTTTCGATTCATACATCAGTATGGGTGTGGTTCTAAAAATGAACAATATTAACAATAATGAATATAAACACAATGAATCAGAAACAGTAATAACTGAACAATATAAAAGTAATGCAATGGCATGAAGATAAAGACACATTATACAACTCCAGCAACTGTAAGTTTCCTTAGGTTTATACACATTCACTTTAAATAAATTATCAGATGAAACCGAATTAAAAATTTCCACATAATAATCAAAAGGTAACATTCAAAGTCTAATTTAGCGTTTTATGCTGAAATGAATGTACGATCAAGCTTACATGTGCATGGACTACCTCAAAGGAACAAACAAACTTTTAGTACTGCAACGTAATATAACCACAAATAAATACATGAAAGAGTATTTTACTACATACTTTTAAGATGTACGCACACAGTATTCCAGTTAGATTCAACAGCAGTTTGTTGGGCCAGTCCCCTCCAAGAGATATACAGCTTTGTTTGTAAAGGACACCATTGCAGATTTTGACACCATTACATCTGCAAGAGAAAGTCCAAGCAAACAGTGAAGAATATCAACTTTGTGTCTTAAAGTGCATGTCTTGTAAAGATGATAAAGAGTTCATGGTTCAGATCAGCCAATAGCTCACCTGTTCCCTCCTCAGTAACATTCACATTTACAAGAAATGTGTCTTGCGTTTGGTCTTCAAATTTGGTGTTGAAAAACACTGACGCATCAACAGTAAGAGAGGCACAGCCCGTGGCATTCACCTGATAGGAGAACAAAGACACAATAAAGTCAAGCACAGGCAAAAGGAAAATCCTCAGCAGAACGGCAGGAGTCACACACCTTTGCGGTTTGAGTCAGGCACTGTCTGGTCAAATTATGAAGCAGACTGTATGGAAATGGATCACGGCACACTTCCACTAAGGCTTGACCAGGTACAGGTTGGCCATATGTACATCTGGGAAACATCATAACAAGATAAAGAACTGACCAACCACAAGATAAGAAAATAAAGCATCACTCACTTGGCACAAGACTCAACTTTCAGTCCCATAACTGCCACACTGTAGGCCTGCGGTGCGTTTACCGTCACGTCAAACTTGGGCAAAACTAAACCAGAAACAAAGCGCTTTAGATTAAGGCCTCAGATCGGTCATTGAACTTCCCTTACACAACAACTTACCGTATTTTTTCACCTCAAAGACTTGGGAGACTAATGTTGGGACTCTTCACTCCACGGCTTCTCCATTCTGCGGCGCCTAGGTCTTTGTGTCTGATGGACGGACAGACGGACGGACGGACAGACGAACGCACGGACAGACAGACGCACGGACGGATGGACGGACTCACGCACAGACGGACGCACGCACGGACGGACGGTCGCACGGACGGACGCACGCACAGACGGACGCACGCACGGACGGACGCACGGACGGACGGACGTCCTTCCCACCGTCATATTAAAAGACCACATTCAGTAACAAAAGCTAGTATAGACCATTACAACACAAGCCTACATTTTTTCCATTTTATCTTTAAGTCATTTACCAATTTCTAGGGCAAGAATCAAACTAATAGACATACCGACACTGAAGTTGCGATAAAAATTCAGGCCCTTGTACTTCAGACACTGGAGTAAACTGAAGTGGCATTCTAATCAGAAGTGCCACACACTGAAAATTTCAGATTAAAAGCCCAAACAAAAAACCTGATTGAGGCACACAGACACCCTTTCAGCACTCAGACGTCTTCCTGGCTTCATGATCCGGACACTCTGATCTAAAGCACTGAGGCTACACAGAGATCCTGCTTGAGCAGAAACCATCAGAACGTTTCCCTCCGCAGGAACAGTCGTAGCTGGAGAAAACTGCAGAGGCACCTGGAACAAGGACCAACACGCTGTAGGACACACACCAACATTCCCCAATTGAAAAATCGCCACATCATACAGTACCTGGTTCTGGAAACACATATCGAGGTCAAACGGAACACTAGCAGCAACTACATTCTCACTGGGAAGAACGCTGTGGACCAGAATCTGCACTGCTGGAGTCATATCGACGCTGACAGACAACTGGAACATCAGAGCCACCTGTGACTGCATCACCAGCCTTTGCTATAACCGTCTGAAATCCATGGAGGACAATCACTCCTTTGGATAAGACCAGACAGAAGACATAGATGTGCAAGTTGCGGAACAAACAGACCAGCAAACTCAACTACAAAACTAATGTCCACTCACCATATAGATTATGTCAGCGCTGTAGCTACCAGCCTCTCCAACAAATGAATACTCCACGGTCACTGGAAACGAAGCACCACATTTGAGCAGCTGATTGAGCTTCACTATAGTCAGTTCACTAAACAATGGGTTGTCGGGGGAAACAGGTAGGAGAAGCTGAACAAACCTTGTATCTGTAGTGAAGTATGGTGATTTAGAACCATAAAAAACCTCTGGATTAGCACTCGTCTGGGGAAGATCAAACTTAATAAGTATCATGTTAGAGAAAGTCTTAATTTTTACAAAATACACGTCGTACCACCAGATTCAGATCAGCCTTAAGATTAGCAGTGTTTAGGGAGAACGCAGCCCATCCATTCTTGTTTGTGGTTAGATTCAACAGCAGTTTGTTGGGCCAGTCCCCTCCAAGAGATATACAGCTTTGTTTGTAAAGGACACCATTGCAGATTTTGACACCATTACATCTGCAAGAGAAAGTCCAAGCAAACAGTGAAGAATATCAACTTTGTGTCTTAAAGTGCATGTCTTGTAAAGATGATAAAGAGTTCATGGTTCAGATCAGCCAATAGCTCACCTGTTCCCTCCTCAGTAACATTCACATTTACAAGAAATGTGTCTTGCGTTTGGTCTTCAAATTTGGTGTTGAAAAACACTGACGCATCAACAGTAAGAGAGGCACAGCCCGTGGCATTCACCTGATAGGAGAACAAAGACACAATAAAGTCAAGCACAGGCAAAAGGAAAATCCTCAGCAGTACGGCAGGAGTCACACACCTTTGCGGTTTGAGTCAGGCACTGTCTGGTCAAATTATGAAGCAGACTGTATGGAAATGGATCACGGCACACTTCCACTAAGGCTTGACCAGGTACAGGTTGGCCATATGTATATCTGGGAAACATCATAACAAGATAAAGAACTGACCAACCACAAGACAAGAAAATAAAGCATCACTCACTTGGCACAAGACTCAACTTTCAGTCCCATAACTGCCACACTGTAGGCCTGCGGTGCGTTTACCGTCACGTCAAACTTGGGCAAAACTAAACCAGAAACAAAGCGCTTTAGATTAAGGCCTCAGATCTGTCATTGAACTTCCCTTACACAACTTACCGTATTTTTTCACCTCAAAGACTTGGGGGACTAGCGTTGGGACCCTTCACTCCACGGTTAATCCATTCTGCGACGCCGCGGCCTGGTCGTGGTCGCCTAGGCCTTTGTGTCTCACTGCCTCATCGCTTCTCTGGCTACGTGGTGTGCTCAACCTCCATCACCTCCGGTAATCCCCTTGGTAGTGTTGGGACTCTTCACTCCATGGCTACTACATTCTGCGACCCCGCTGTGGGATGCAGTCCTGACTGTGGGCTGCGTCTCCGTCGACTTTTCCCTGCTCAAGGCCAGCCCCCCTGGCTTTCACCACCACCTGCACCACCTTTCCTCCAGCTACGGACGACCGGCCGCCGTGTGATGCAGTTCTGACTGTGGGCTGGGTGTCCGTCTGTTCTTCCCTGCTCAAGGCCTCGGACGGACGGCTTGGACGGACCGGACGGACGGCTTGGACGGACCGGATGGACGGACGGCTTGGACGGACCGGATGGACGGACGGCTTGGACGGACCGGATGGACGGACGGCTCGGACGGACCGGATGGACGGACGGCTCGGACGGACGCTCGGACGGACGGACGGACGCTCGGACAAACGCTCAGACGGACGCTCGGACGGACGGATGCTCGGACGGACGGACTGACTTACTTCCACCCATCACATTAAAAGATCACATTCAGTAACAAAAGTTAATATAGACCATTACAACAAAAGACTACATTTTATTCAACAGCTAGCAATTTCCACGTCCTTTAGACTAGTTAGGGACATTGAAACTGCAAGCCATTGGATAAAATGTAGTCTTTTGTGTTGTAATGGTCTATACTAGCACCAGCAGGCGTCCGTACGGAAGGAATGCGGCTTAGCTGGAGGACAAAAAAAGCCGAAGAGAACCATGCAAAAGGTTGGTGCAGGTGGTGGTGACAGCCAGGGGGGATGGCCTTGAGCAGGGAAAAGTCGACGGAGACGCAGCCCACAGTCAGGACTGCATCCCACAGCGGGGTCGCAGAATGTAGTAGCCATGGAGTGAAGAGTCCCAACACTACCAAGGGGATTACCGGAGGTGATGGAGGTTGAGCACACCACGTAGCCAGAGAAGCGATGAAGCAGTGAGACACAAAGACCTAGGCGACCACGACTAGGCCACAGCGCCGACCCCCTGAAGTGGAAGCAGCGATCCTGAGGTTAGAGGCTGAGCTGCAGCAACCATATGGAGGTGGAACCTGAGGGAGGGCGGAGCTAGTCAAAGGCTAAGAAGTGGAGAGCCGTAGGGCAGTGAATGGGCCGCAAGTTCATGGCGAAGAAGATGTAATGTCCAACAGAGGGAGGCAGAATGGCCGATGGTCCATGCTGGAGTCAAGGGTGGTAAGAGAGCACAGCTGCATTCTCACTGGGCCATATCGACGCCGTCACTTTGTTTACAATTGGAGTCTTATCAAAACGAGTCACGAATATCTGTTAGGAATAATTAAGGTTAGGAAAGGGGAAACAAAAAAACAAAAAAACAAACACATGACCACCATCCATTTGATCACTGGATGGCAAACAAACCAAGAGTAGTAATGATGTTAAAGGAAAGCTTCAATGGTTCACAAAGCTTATTTTCACCATCTATAAAATTTAGTAAACAACTTCAACATAAAAACAGAATGCTTCTGTTCACTTCAAAGCCTAATGGTACTTACCTGGTTGTTTAAGTCCATCAACAGCAAAGAGAAAAAGGGTGAAACTGAGCTTCTTCCAAACACAAATCTCCCTCACAGCCATGAGGACAGATCAGCCAAGACTAACCCTTATCAAGCCACTCTTCAGACTCTAATATATCAGGAACGCATTCATCTCGTTAATTCAATTAATTAACCACCACCTGGCAGTAATTAATGTTATCATTTGATTAGGAGTTCCAATTGGCATTGATTTGAAACACGACACATTATGGAGGTTAGCGGACGAATTTTCTAGTTGCCATATCAACACTGTAGAATTTTAAAAATATAGCCTATATATTGAAGATATTACTGAACATTTATTTAACCATAGCAAAAGTAATGCTGCGTCCCAATTCGCTTACTTATACTACGCCCTAAAAGTATGTACTCTTTTTGTGAGGAAAAAGTACATACTTTTGAGTGTGTAGTAAAAGAGTAGGCAAGCTTTGGGACATACTATCACGTCATCTTTAACGGACAGCTCTGTCGCGTGCTGCGTGCATCCCGTCACCGTAAACTGCCCTGTCAATCATCTCGTCACAGTTAAAATCTTCCAGTCTATCTAATTTTATTTCCTACCGTTTCAGAGAGCACGTTCATCTGCCAGTTGTGGGTCTTTCATGCTCTTCTCGTGTTTGCAATTTGAATAAAATGATGCATTTAAAACATAATGGCTAAACATGTCTTTACAAAAGTTTACAATGCTGCTGCAAATGCAATATAATGTGGACAACATTGATCAATTATCAGTATCTAACCTGACGAAAATGAATTTATTCACTCAAACCTCTTTATCTAAACCTCTCTACACAACCGCGGGGACTCGCGCGTCCTCCCTATCGACAACGTGTCTGTAGTTTTTTTAACACTTTTTACTCGTGTTTGTGGTTCTAACCGAATCCTCGTCCAACACGCAATGGTTTGTGGGCAATATCAGCCGTTAGAGTGTGCATCGATCTACACTTCGGATTCTGACCGGAAAAAGTAGACCATCCGGGTATCTTTGAAACACTCATTTCAACATACTACGGTTTGGGACGCACTAATTCTATTTTCGAATACTATTTAGGACGGATAGTATGCGAATTGGGATGCAGGGTAAGTTTCTTGTGTTCATTTTGAACAAGTCTGATATTATTTTATCTTATATCTGTTAATTAACAGTTGAGATAGTTCTTGAATGCTGGTGTGACAGCAGAAGACCGACTAGCCGGGTTTAAATCCTATATTTAAGAGAACTTTGTCCCAGGTGTGCAGGCGGGGCATGTTGTCACACTGCGTTGCAATGAGCAAATGATTAGAATTGCTTTTCTACTCGAACTCTATAGGCCTTATTCAGAGCAGCGCCATGACAGGTATGAAAGTGAGGCTGTGAGGGATAGACTTACCGTGTTTTCAACGGCATCCGCTGTAAAAAGCTGAATAAAGCGGCTAGATTACTTACAATTTTCCACAGCTTACATTGTTGGGAGTTTTTTGTCAACTGACATTTCTTGGAAAGATATTTTTTCCAGTGTTTAATGAGCAGAACAATCCGAAAACACATTAAATAACAGTACAGCCCATTGAAGAGATGCAAGTCTATCCCTCACAGCCTCGCTTTCATTCGCATTAAAAATCAAAGATGGCGCTGCCGTGAATAAGGCGTATTGAGAAACCATGAGAAAAGGGTGAATAAATTCTGAGATTCAATGTTCAGAAATTATAAATAGAGAGTATGCGCGTGACGTCACCGTTGGCCGGAGCGGCTGCAGTTCCTCACAGTGAGTCTCATTCATGAAACATTCGTAAATATACGAGTAAACATGAGAGTGAGTTGCGCGTAAAGAGACCTTCTCAATAACTCTCCTCATGATTTACAAATACATCGTAAACGTCAGATGTCATAGTGAAATGTGTGTGTTAATGAATTCGTAAATGGGATACGCGTGCACGTTCATTCCCAATTACCATAAATCAAGTCCAACATATCCGACTGACATCTATAAATAGGCATATAATAACATGAATGCGAATTTGATTCGATTAACTTCATTGTCTGTTCCGATGTACTGGACCGAAATTCATCTTTAACAGTGGCACAACAACCACGTTACAAACCACATAAGAAATAATTAATTAATACACACTGTTATGTGGATAGCAGATGAACCCAATTGCAGAAAGTATGCAAACACACAACGTTTATTGAGAACAGAAAACTGGGAAAACAAAACCCACGAGGGGGAAAACAACACTGGTAGGGAAAATAAAGACTATAACTTTAAGACTTTGACATTAAACTATACAGGAACATGACAGGATTTTTACAGGATCACAACTTCGTTAAGACAATACTCACAAGGTATAGACATGGCACGTGGCACAGGACAGCAAACACAAGGGGATCAAATAGGGAGAAACAGACATTGACAGCAGGTGACATAGATGAAGCAATGATGACAAAACAAGCACAAGGGGGTGTGGCCAGAGAACGAGACACCCCAAACACACACAGCCCAAACACAAGGCCATGTGCCTGCACACAAAACAAGGATCTGTCATGATCCTGCCTCAAGAGTAGGACAAGAGTGCAGAATCATGACACATACAGAAGTTAAATTAATACAGTATGTGCAAATTCACACACCTCAATTGAGAATTGAGTTTAAAACAGTCACTGCCAATGGAACAAATGATCTCTTATAGCCTAAATATTGCTCTTGGCGAGCGGTATCCGTAGCCTGCGCCCCGAATGAAGGATCTCGAAGCAGGAATGGAGGGGATGAGTCTGGTCTGAATATATTGATAATGCCATTTTCTCCCAAAAAAAATTCTGAATAGCTCTTGTAATGTGCTGTTTTTGGCCGATGATCTTATTTGCTTCATTGATTACTCGTGTTAGTTTATTCTTCTGTTTCACTGTATTACCATGAAACAATATTATAAGTTAAAACACTTTCAATCATTGATCTATGGTTAAGAGCCTCCTTTCAATGTCAAAATTTCTTAACTTCCTAAGTAGACTTAAACGCCGTCTAGTTTTCTCATGTAGCCCATAAAATCCAAAGGGAAAGTTTATCACCAGTGATTGTACCGATATTTTGCTCTGTCTTTACGCCTTTTAACATTATTACAATATATTCCTATTTAACACAGATGTCATTTGCTAATTACATAAACTATAAGCTCAATTCATAAGTAT